TTCAAGGCTAGCCTGATTCAGCCACTTGACGACAAATCCATCAAACTCTTCTGCCAACTAGATATCAACACCCTGCCGAGTGTGCCTGCGGTGACTGTCGCTGTCCCAGAAAATTATCCACAGAGCGCACCTTCGTGTTTGACCGACCAAACTCTATACAGAAGCTCGGAATTCCACCTTTCTCTGCTCGAGGCTCTGAAGGCCCGCATGGCCGAGAGGCCTCCCCGGTTTACGGTGACGGAGCTCCTCGATGCGTGGGAGATGTGCGGGCGACAAACTTTCAAAAACATGCAACCCCGCTTGCAGTCACCGGTGAAAGCTTCAGCTAGGAGTGAGGCTCGTCAGACCAATCTCTCCGTAATTATATCAAAGTCGTGTTATATCTCAATAGGACGGGCGCTGTGCCGCAGACCTGAAGAATGTCCGGAAGATTGACTCGATGGCAATGATGAGAATCTGATCCACATCTCGAGAAAGCCGCAACAGGGCATCGAGGGATGTCAACAGCGAGAGGCGTATCTCGGACGTTTATTCCCTGAACAATGAATTTTGATCCATACTCCTCGAGGAGCCATTCAGTGGCGTGCATCGTGAATCGAGAAGTCATGTATATTTCTTTGTGTAGCAAAATTTTGTGGACCAGTATTTTCGATCGCTTTTCCTTCTGAAGCTTGTCCCAGCCTCAACTGACGCTAATCATCATCTCAAGCCAGACTCGAACGCTCCAAACGTCCAGAAAACACTCAAATGTTCCCCGGAGTTGATGAGTCTGGAGCTGATTATGAGCGTAATATATCCTCATTGGGACATGTACTTGAGACCATCCTAAAGAGCACACATGCCCGTCTATGTTCCCGTCCCCGAAAATCCGTTCCGTTCCTTTGTGAGAAACCGCCTGCCCAATCCTTTCCTACGGTCAAGAGGAGCTTGATTGCAAAGTTCGTACCGCTCATCACATGGTGACGGGAGCTTCAGGAGGCTCGAAGTTTCGTGTCCTTCGAAAATACCTCCTTCAGGCCTCAATGCTCGATCGCCCCGATCTATCGGATCTATTGTTCCCCCAGAGCTTGCGCCGGAAACCGTATTCCGCCATCGCCTCTTACGCTTTTCTCCTTGGAGAATTATTTTCAGCCGGAAAAAAAGTCTTGCTTCCCCGGACGAAAGCTCGCGCCGAAAGTCCGGCTCAGCCCCCGAGAAAGCTTGATCTGAAACCATCGGAGAACTCACTGTCGGCGTGCGTCCTCATCGGGATTCTTCAAATAGACCCTGCCTCCCGAATCGAAACCGGTGAAGCTCAATACCCCTTTCCCGAGCGGTTGACTCCTCTAAACATACGATCGATTATTCTTCGACGCGAACGGAGCTTCACGCGTCGACCCCGTCTTCCTCTGCATACTGCTCTCCGCTCACCGGGTATTCGTGCTTGAGTCTGGCAAAGATCGGAAGCTCGCACGCTGTCTATCCGAGAGATCAGGTATCGAGTGGATCTCGAGTACCTTATCGGCAATCCGGAGCGGCGTTTTCGAAATGGTGACTTGTCTCCTTATCTCCCTATCCGTAGGATTAGGGAGCCGATCTACAAGCTCACGGGAGGCGAGCACATGGGAGAGAACTCCGATAGCCAATATGTATTGCGTGTCGAATTCCCTTTTCCGACGTGCAGCGAGCTGCTTAGAGCAACGAGTTCTTCCGGGATGTGATAAGAATGGCACGATAAGAATCCCGTTTCGCTGTCGGAGCAAGCAGTGGAAGTTCATGGGGTGCTGCACCGCGCTCACTGCTCTCAGCCCGCTCTAAACAGTGTCTTCATACATATCAGGCATCACCCCGCTCGGGTTTTCGTCGATGCGTCGCCTTCTTGCGGTACGAGGCACTCGCCCCGAGCGCCGAGCATGGCTTCCGCATCGTTCCCTCTAGTCGTCTCCGGCAGCAGAGGCAGCGAGGAGCCGATCGCTTCACCTCGTTGAAAACAAGATACTCTGCGATATAATCGAGAAGACTTGAATCGGAGCCAGAACGAATCAATGAGAAATATTGGAAATCACTGATGGTCGATTGCTTCGAATCGAGCCGGGAGAATATGCGTCATATCGTTCTAATCGCATCGTCTGGGAGTTAGTTCGAGGCTCGGCTGAGACCGCTTTCCTGACCGCTTCGAAACTACGGTCTTCTTAGTCCCAACCATTTATGCGGGACTCGGGTGTGACGCTGTAGAAGAGTCCCGAGTTTCCAAATAGTTTCCGTCGGTCTTGATGCTAAAATCTAAGTGGAGCCGTAAAACCGCATCCATAGCTCGAATGCTGTCCAGGGTTCGATCAGAGGACGGGAAGACCGGGAGACATAGCGGCCTCATATCCGCCTGCGTTTTCGCATTTCCACGTTGACGCTGTGTCGACCGAAAACTCGCTTTTCTGGTTTCGCGTCGGTACCCGTTCAATTCTCTCGGCAGCTGAGGATGCTATTTCCACCAGAAGCCGCAAAAGCCCAATGCTCGCTCGGTGGGTGGAGGAATATTGTTTGTTTTCTAGACCAAGATACCTCCGATAGTAAAGGTTTATGCATACCCCCTTTGTTCGGGAGTCTCAGCACGCATCAAAATGCACGCAGCTCGCTCAGTTGTATCCCTTGCCTGCAAAGTCTTCGGGCTTCGAACGAGGTTTTCGACCGGTGCGGATCCTCCTAGATAGGGGTTCAAAACACCCGGGTCGCTTCTGTGTGGGGTGGCACCCATTTCTATCGGTCGTTCACAGGCTGACTCACGTACCCCAAGATGCACAGGGGTATCCCTAGTACTCGTCGTCGATGATATTGAAAATTAATCTTGGAGCTGCACTGGTGCCTGATGTATGGATTTTGTACACAGACGGGAAGATCCTCGATTCCTGACATTTTTTCTCCATTCTACGGAGAGCTTTCCTTCCGGGGTATTTGCGAGCCTAAGAGAATGTCGGTTGAAGTTCCGGACGCTCAGGTCGGGTTCATCATTCATCTGGCTGACTCGGGGGAGCTCGAAGCTTCTCCCGTCGAAATGACCACGGCCGAATGAAACGGGATCATGGCATGCGAGCTTTTTTCGATAGAAAAGCTCTCGGATTTCCAATTCTGTTTGCTCAATGATTGATCCGGGTCGGAAAATTGATGGACGGTCGCCGCCTCCGACGCCTGACCCAGCCAAAGCTCCTCTAGACAGCCTACAGCTGGGATAATAACTCAATCGTACCAGATCTACGATCTGATCCGCGAGTCTAGATTTCGATTCGGGACGATGTGCTTGGGATGCCGGGAAGCCCCGACAAAATTATCCTCCAATACTATGCTTCAAAACACCGTTTGAGACTGACGGGTCGCTCCAGAGACCTGATGATAATAGCTAAATATACACTGGCCCCAATTTCGAGACTCGAGTTTCTTCAGAGCCGAGCATCGTTGATCTTCCACGCTGTCCGCGTGGTATCGTCCATGCGACGCCGACGCCGCCGTTCATCACCGCCTCGAGCAGCGTACACCACCATCCCGCACGCCTGCTCTGCGCCGCCTGGGACCGCCTCGATCGGTGGCTCCGAACTTCAAGCAAAGATCATCGACGTGGTATCATCTCTCTCCAGTCGACAAATTCAATTTTTTCCTCAATTCTCCCCCTCCCCCTACCTCGCGGTAGATCCTCATCAAGCAGACGAGCAGAAGGTGGACGTTATCTTTGGAACAGGTTTCGCGAGGAAAATCATGCCATAGCGACGACCATGAGGACGATCCGATGCCCATGCCGAGACATCGACAAGCCACCTCGTGTTCCTAAGCCGCCGCCGACGAACGCCATCGACTTCGAGCATCCGGAGTCGGGGTGCGATTCGAACAAACGCTTGAAAGATGATCGGGGTTCTCTAAATTGGGCAGCCGGGTCGAGATTCGTTGCAGCGATCTCCGAAAGAGATCCCCCCAGCTCGTTTCTAAAATTCTAGAAATTGAATTGAGTTTCGCACAATAGGGTGCTACCAATCCCTGTCGGGCTAGAGCACCGTGGACCTGCGGCTTTGGCTTGATGTTCTCGTGATTAAAAATCCTACTCCGGCTTCCCCCCGGGCCGGAACCCCACTAAGGGTTATTCTGTGGGGTGCAAGAGTAATTAAACATAAATTACCGCTGAAATCCAATTTCAATCAAGAAAAATAACGATTTCTACATGCGAGAGCCGCGACCGCTCAAAATTTGGCGCTGCGTTGGGAAGCCGAGAATCGATAGGAGAGAGTTGCGCTGAGCGCCCTCTACTAAGGCAATACGCCTTCCGCCGGCTCCAACAATCAGTCTCTTTGCTCCTTGATCGCTCTTGGTGAGGTCCACGCGTCGATCTACACGAGAAGCAAGTGTAACTTTTGAAGTTGAAACAACTCGTCAACAACCCGAAACCGAAGCTACCATGTCGTCTAACGAGTGCTACCGATGCCACAAGACTGGCCACTTCGCCAGAGAGTGTCCCGACGCCGGAATGGGAGGCTACGGAGGAAGCCGTGGAGGAAGTGGTTACGGCGGTATGGGCCGTAGCGGCGGTTACGATCAACAGCGTCCTGGTGGCGGCCAACGCTTCGGAGGAGGCGGCGGCGGCAACCGAGGTTGCTACAACTGTGGCAAGGAAGGCCACATCGCCCGCGACTGCCCCACCGCGTCGGAGGGCCGTTCATGCTACCGCTGCCACCAGCCTGGCCACATCTCTCGCGATTGCACCGTTTCGGTCTAGGCCTCCCGTTAGGCCTAACCGCAGTTCCCAGCTCCATCTCTAACTCGTTCCCCACGAAGACCACCAGTGTCGCCCGCATCAGAAGCCCACGAAACAAACAAGAACAACAACAACGTCAGCATCGGTTTTTGATCTTCCCGCATTCGACAACAACCTAACGACAGGCTCTTCACCGTGGCGCGGCTGACCAGCGTGCGTACGTGCCGGTCGGCTTCCGAATCGGTCCCACTCGGGGTTCCGATCGGTTCGCCTCGTGAAAACCTCTAAATGAAGCTTCTCAAGCTAACAGTCTGAAAAGAAAGCCTTCGCTCGACGTGCCCGAGTGGGAATCAAGCCCCAACGAGCGTGCCGACGTGTTGCGTATCCTCGTGTCCGTCCCACGATGGCGTCGCTTGTTGTTCGGCAGCTTGGAACGCCGCGAGGCTTATGGCTGTGACGCGATGACGATTGAGTGCATCTCTGATTGCATCGATCACGAAGCAAAGCAACGACAGGCTACGATCTAAGAAGATAAAAAGAAAACCTCGAACGAGAGCTGACATCGAAACGAAGCTTCAACCGTGATGCATGGGCTTCGCCGGGAGCTGTGCTTCGTCGAACGCAGTAAGTTGGCAGTGAAGGAATTGTCGGTTCATACATTTTCGCAAGTCTTCACTAAGTCAAGAGCCTAGCCATTCTCCGTAGTTCGGGGACGAAACTGAATCTCCGTCGATTGGAGAAGGTCCTGGCTTTGGGCTCTGTCTTGACTTGCGTCCTTCCCGTGTCGTCGGCGTGTGTTTTCCTTGCACAACTGAAGAAATAGCAGCATCCCCCATCCATATTCCTCTACTACTATAACTCCTACAATGTCTCTCTATACAATGTGTATCAACAACAAGCATCTACAAAAAAACCATCTACTACCACTACTCCTACGAAAGCTACATCCATGACGGAAGAAAAACAGAAGAAGAGAAAATACCCGCCCCCTGTTCTAAACGAAGAAAAAATAAAAACATCGTCGTCGTTGACGAGTCCACAACTTACCTGTTTGTATGCCAAACCGTAGCCAGGCGACGTACATACATTGTACAACCATCGAACTTCTGCTACCACAGTTTGGACTCTCCAATCATTCTCAGACTGAATTCCGAATTGCTCAGTCGCCCGAATCAGAAATCATTTGATCGATCAGTTTGCCGCTTCTGCCTTCAGGAAGACAGGAGCCGAATGCAGTGTCTCGGGAAATTCTGGAGAGAATGCCCAGACACCTCCGTCATTCGGATTTCTCCCTCAATAATCCATGCAGGCATCTGTACCTATTCGAGCTCAAGCGAGAGGGAGTCTCGGGGGTTCCCCCGAAGATGATGGACAATCGGCTCCTGATTCCCTCCGATGTCTTCCGTCTGCCGGAGCTGCAAACTGTCACTCGTCCCGACGACGATGTTCCCTCAATCATCTCGTTGCTTCCCCTACTACTGAAATTTCCCAGTTACCAAGTTCGAATCGCGGAAACAGGGTTCGTCCGTACAACAAAGCCACAGCTATTCCGACCAGCAGGAAGCGAGCTATCCGTAAGTGAAACATGATCGTCACCTCCACTACTACTGTGCAGTTCTGCCTGAGTTATTCCTTTGCGCCGAGTCGTTCGCGTGGTCTTCGTCTCCGAAATTCTCCGGGAGTCGTTCGTCGGTTCAACAACGTCGGAGCCGGTCGACGATCGAGATAAGATTACGATTCCGCAGAACGGCCTGAATGCGTAATTGGCAACTCTATTCAAAAAATCGCCCGCCCAACGCCCGCCGTCACCACCATCTTTGACCACCACCACCATCTCTGTAAGACTGAGATTGAGAAACATCGGAAGGAACTGTCTACGGAATTCGCCGCAGAACACCAACAACCGAAGAAAAAAAATCATCAACAGTATCAGGTACGACAAGTTTTCAATTCCAAGTTCTGGATGGTCGTTGTCGCTGCGGCCGTCACCGGCGCAGCGGCAACAGCAGCAGTCTGTCCGCGACTGCGAAGATACAGATCAACTTTTGAGAAAGTGACTCGAGTCGTTCGCGATGATGAAGCGGAAGCTGACGAAGAAACTAGATCATAAATATTGAAGAAGTCAAAGAAGATTATCCCCGACGATGATGATGATGATGATGGAAGATGATGACAAGAAAGTTGAGAGTTATCCAGCTGGAGGCGAGTTTGTTGGTGAAGATATAGCGACAACTATTATTGATAGGTTGGAAAGTCATTCGGATTTGCAAGAAACCGTCTGCAGAAAATGGATCTCGATATTTACGCCTGGAAGATTGGTAGAGCGGATTGAAGGTTTTATTTAATGGTCCCAAATGGTGGTTATTTAGTGAAGAATCCCGGAAGTTTTTCAAGGAAAGAAGCTTTGTTGAGACCAGTGGTTTCATCTAAAAAAAAATCGATCAACCCATCAATCATTAAACGGTACCGGATGGATACATTGTCGTACCGTCGGAGCAGAAGCCATGGCAGAAGAAGAGAAGATGCGTCGGTCTATCTTAAAGATAGCTAACTCTGAGGAAGAAGAAACGAGGATCTAGCGAATAATCATCATCATCGATCGCTCGAAGCAAACCCGATGATGATGGTGATTGATATGATGTCCATAACACTTGATGATGATTATTATGACGACGATTGGTCGTTGTGAACCATCACCGTGATCGTTGAGGTCGCTGTGATTCGTCGATCAGTTCATGGAGGTGAACATGAGCACAGCAACGATGATGATGATAGTGGTAGTCATCATTACATTAAGATTAAGACGGAGAAGCAGCCTGATGAAACAGTCGATGATGATGATGAGGTCTTAAAGAGTTCTTGTGAGGAAGCCCAACGTTTACGCATGACGACATCGTGTGACTATATGCTATAACTATTATTACATATGAAATGGAAACATGCCTAAACATGGAAGAAACATACAGTACAACTACAAACAACAAGCTTGCTCGTTTTTTTTTGTTGCCTTCGAACTAAAAGCTATTTCCAGGTTTTTTTTTGTGGCTATTCCGCGGATATCCCGTTGAGTTGATCCCTGTCTGATAGATTGGGAGTTTGGAGCTCTCTCTGAAGTCGTGAGAAAAAGTTCCGGATTACTTTCGGGTCCCTAGCAATCTGCTGGAAATCTCCCTGAGGATGTTAGTCTTCCCAATTCTTCGCAGCGAACTATTAAAGTTCAGATCTCCGAATCGAGCAGTGCTTTGAATTCGGATGAGTTTACTAGATTATTGTCTGTTCTGGCTAGAGGTTTGGCTTCAGGTCGAACGCGAAGAGAGCTTCGTTGCATTTTTCGGCTCGAGCACTCACAGCGGAAAACACAGCATACGCAGATTTTGAGACATTATCCGTTGGCCCTCCTCAGTGAGAAGATTCACCCTCAGGGGAATCGCAGTCGGTCGGAGATCAGTCAGTTATTTAGTCCGTCGAATCTGAGGTGACCTGATTTAATCAAGGGGATTGGAAAGACAGCCAGAGCGATTGGAAGCATCAGATCAGTATCAGAAAAGAACACAGGTGTTGAACGTGTCGATCTCAGACTTCATCATGTAGTCTCCCCGGAGAAGTTGCTTCCTCTCGACAGACCAACCTACCAAACGAGAATTGCAGTGGCGACGGATGGATTTGATCCGTCAGCGTCAAACGTGCCTGAATCTGAGCGGCGCGGCGTGAGAGCCCAGAGCGATGAGAGGGATTGCAGTGAGTATCGAGCTTGCATCGATCACTTCTCCAGAGCGATCCATGTTGACAACCTTGAGTGTCATGGTCATGAGCTCAGTACTTTGATAAGAGTACCTCAGACGAATTCCGTGTGAGAGGACGTCACTGTAAGAGGGAGTTGAGAGCGAAGTACTTGAAGATTCATCATTCAGGAAGGACGAGAGGCACTCTGTGATATTTTTCCCTTTCCTTTCTCGAGGCGATCCGCCCAGAAATGATGCTATTCTTGGAGGACTTCTCGAACCGTTCGGGAAGCAAAGTTCAAATCACTAATTGATCGAAAAGAGCAAGGGTTTCTTTTAATTCGATGGGAATCTTCGGAAGAATTCTACAAGCTTAGAACGCCGACGATGACGTGATAGAACTGACGATACCGATGAGCAGCAGCAGCCGCGACAACTGATGATGAGTAAGATTGTACACTCAATAGATAATTGAAGAATTCCTATTATTGAACGATTCGAAGTTATTATTTCTCGAAGTCAACCGATGGTGGTCGCAGTGAGTGCGACGCTGACTGTGTTAAGTCGGTCGGATCGCTGCCGGGAATCCTCATCCATGGGGTGCCCGTTAGGATCTATTCAGGCATACAACAGGGGGAAAATAGCAGGAATGATGATCGATATTCACAGAGAACGCATATAGCTTTATTTTATCTGGAAGGAAAACCACAATATACCAATGGAGTAGGGAATTTTACAGACGGACACCGATCGACATGGCAGCAGACAGAGTCATTCGTCACGGCAGACAGACGCGCATCCATGAACCACAAGAAATTGAGCCTGAGAAATTCATACATGAGTCCACACCCATACACGGTCCTCACTCACTCGCAAACTTACATCCCCACGCATTTACACACGAGTGCAGAACGATTCAAATTAGGCGAATCGACACGAGAAGCTGAAGTCACGAAAACTCTTGGGACCAATCTTCCACAAGAAAGACGATCTATCGTTGAAAAGGCATTCCTCGATTCTGATGGCGATGTATTTCCAACAAATATCCCAAAATTGTCGATAGGATCTGATGATGGAGTCGAATAAATCAACCGAGGAAACGATGAGGATCTGACCGAATACTGAGGTACAAGAACACGAAGTCGGTGATGATGATGATGGTATACACGGAGAGATGGCTGAGACACTAATGATGTTGACAACAAAACACCAACCGAAGCGAAAACGGATGAACTTTCGAAAATAAATGCGAGATGTTCGAAAATAAATCCCTCGTCTTCAATAATCTCCATCAGCAGACTCTCCGCAGAACTGTGGCGATCCGAGGTATGAACTCCGTCACGCCGTCATGGGAGCTCAGCGAGAGGATCCGGCAGCTCGGGAAATTTCCCCACAGATATATCTGAGTACACTGGATGGGAGCGTCCCGAGATCATCCCGGTCGGCTCCTGGCTCAGATGCTCGAGTCCGGATTGGAGCGCCAGATTGAAGGCTCAAATTTTGAGCAATAGATCGAGGCGTTGGATTCAGGGACAGAATGAAACGAAAGATGAACGGGGAAAAACAGCGAATTCATTCGTATTCGTAAGCTGAGAAAGTTCCTTTTTCGTTAGTGCGTTCCAGTCGCTATGATAATAGATACCCGACTCGCATCGCGTGCTGGATCGATAGGCGGAGCATCGCTCGGGGAAGTTTTCTAAGAGTGTAATACGCCGTTTGGTGCCACAGGTTATCTCAGTCGACTCGCAGTTGGATCCAAACGGTCTTCGTCGTCGCTAAACTCGACGCTCCCCTCCTCGACTTTTTACGACGATCACTCTATCTCTGTATAGGCAAGACGCGCCGAGAACCATTCGCTCGAAAACTCTCCAGAACAAGTTATGCATCGGAGAAACTCGAAGAAGCTCGACGAAAAAGCTCAGGAAAGATGAAACGAAACATTTCAGAGAGATGCGTGTCGGCCCTGCTTTCACGGTGCAGTGCTGTTGTAGCCGTTTGTGACGCAGCAGCAGCAGTTTCGGTGGAGACGCAGAAGCGTTCTACTGAAGAGCGAGGCATCGGACTATTGCGCGGCCAGTCGGTCACTCCGTAGCGGACGACCTCGTTCTAACCTCAGTCATCGACCCTGCGCAAAGCCGCGCCAATACGCACACATGTTTCCAGGGGTCCTCACTGGCGTCGACTTTTTAGCGGCGACTAGCTCTCCTCAACACGAGTGGCGATAAGTTCCGTCATATCCGTTGTACTTTGTCCCTCAGGACGACGACGGCGACGAGCAACAGAGCCGAGAACAATTGGAGGGGGGAAGGACTCTGGAACTCCTTCCGAGCAGCTCTCCGAATCGTCGAAGCGCAATGAGAAAGTATTATTCAAGGAGTTCGAATAAACTCCGCCGATGGAGATAACGTTTCCAGACCTCGTTGTTTGGATCAAAGCCGGCCGAGAAATCGCTGCTCTAGCAGAGCTGCAAGTGCGTCGTCGAATCATCGCATCTTGATGCCCTTCCAAGCAGCCAAACCGCTGGCTCACCAACAGAGCTTAACAACAGACACACGCGGGCAGGCGCAAGCGCGGCTGGATGGGACCTGTCAGCCGTGAATTCTGGAATCAGATGTCCTCTTCCAGAACGTAGGGATCGCGCAGAAGAGGAGAGATTCTCCGACTCGTACTCATGGAGCGATTTCGGAAAGTCGGGAAATTGTGAGTCGAATGATGAGAGAAAGTATAGTCGATGTAGGTGGGTGCTGACGACGTGCGCCAAGCTCCTGGTTAGCGCACGCTGAAAAGCGTCCTCGATCGGCATTCGTACCACTGTCTCCGCCTCGCTTATCATTCGCGAACCTTCTTGATACGAAGATGTATTTGCGAGCCTCTTCACGATTTGGAGCTCCTCGCGACCCGCAATTTCATATTCCCACATTCTAAGAAACGCAAGCCGGAATTCCACGTTAACGAAGCGATTTGGATAGGTATGAAACTAAGGTTCTCCACACTCATTATCTGAAACAGCTGTTTCATCTTGATGACGGATTGCCTGCAGCGAATTCAACATCGAATTTGACAACGGGATTCCCGAGAGACCATGAGATGAATCCCCTCTGGAGAAAGTTCCGAAAACTTCGTATGTCCGATGCATTCGGGCGGCAAAATGTGGGGCATGTCAGGCTTCGTTGGGAGACACGAAGCATAAGCGGTCCGTTGAAAGTCATTCGAGCAGACGTTGGAGAGCCCTTGTCCAGAGCTCCGGTTGCGACTCGCAGAAGGAAGCAACAGAGACATTCCCTGACGTCGCATCGCCAGCTCGTCCTCGTGTTGGGTAATCTTGAACCTCCCGTAAGTATCGCCCCTTTTCATAACAATCATTCCCAGGAGAACGAGTTTCCCAACTGAGCGATGACGTCGCGGGAGAAGGTTACCCAGGGCCTGCCATATGCCGATATCCCTACCGATGAGCGAAAACGGGCTATCGGTGAAGCTTTCTACATCTTACCGGCTGCTAGATTCCGGAATCAAGCACTTCGATCCTTTCGCACGATTTATTGATATTGTACAAATTTCCACGGAGAGACCCTTAGGTAGCTGATCATGAACTGTGAGAACACATTGATCGGGAAACTACAGGCAAAATTCTACAGTGATCTCCTCTGCGAGAATGCTCATATGTCGTCTAGGAACTCGGTTAGTGCAACACGAAGCCCTTCAATTTCTCGAGGAGTCCGATATATTGTCCATGTTCGTAGCTCGTGCTGAAGTCTATCAGCTGTTCGGCGAACTCATTCGTCACGCCACGTTCCTCGAGCAAGTTCATGAGAAGATCGTACAGTTGAGCGTCCATGATATCGCCCGAGACCGAGTAGTCGCTGTCATCGAGCTCCTCGCCGGTGTACATGCTGAACTCGACGATTTGGAACAAGTCATCTGGAAACGAGAGTAAGAATAAATACATCACGGGGAGGCTATGGGACAGGAAGATCTGGGAATCAGTCGATCTTCCGAAAGATCAGACAGTCGTCAGAAATTACCGTAATCGTCTTGGTCCCCCTGCGGCTCCACACCGAAGGTGCACGAAAGCATGAGTTTCTGGCCGCCTTTCTCAATCAACACGTCGAAGTTCGGCTTCGACATCATGGGGCTGGCCTCAGAGGGCTCTTTTTCCGGAGTGTCGTCCGTATCATCAGTTTCCACTGTGTGGTTTACGTTGAAATCGATCGTGATGGTTTCGTCATTGAACTTCCTGGTGAGCGTGACGTTGGCATTCTCGGTTTTGATTTCGAAACCGTCGATCTTCGGTGGAATACTCTGTTTCCGGCTCTTCTTCTCAGCCTGGATCTCCTCGCTCAAGAAGTTGCTCAGCTCCTCGTCGCCTGCGAAAGAGCTTTCGTGAGAAACCGGAATTCAAAGCGGGACCGCGCGGCACGTGCAGGGAGCAAAAATGCAACGGAATGGAATACGGATAACTCTTATTCATGGACGTGACAGCGTTCTGAGGTGGGAACCTCAGCGCGCCGTCCCAAGAGGAACCGACCTTTGGTTTTCGTCGAGAATAGTCTTGCATATTCGGGGCGTCCGAGAGACCGGGATCCGCGCACGGTTAGACGCCCGCAGTTCGTCGAAGCCAGTGTACGAGTGGACTGCATAAGGACTCGACGGCCTACGGCCAGAAATGATCTCGAGAGCATCTTGAAGATTTCTAACTTAAGGCTCCGAAAAAGACGGGTGACGTCCAGAGAAAGTTCTCGCAACGGTACTGCTATGCCGACTCCGAGGAACAAACCGACTCTTCTCAACGTGCGCGAATGAGAGTCTCAACAAACAAAACATGGCGGCCCCCGTCCACAGGGAGGTCTTTGAGCATCGGATTTGGCGTTCACGTGCTGCATCATGAGGAACTCCGGAATCATCCTCCAATTTAATTTTTCCCGAGATGAGTAGATCTCCCCCTCGATGACTCCCTTGGTTCACGGTGCACTTTCTAGAATTTAGCGTCCAACTAGTCCAGATCAGCCGTACTGGGTCGGCTAGGGAGCTTTCTCGAATTATTCGAATCAAACACGTATTACTAGAGGGCTCATGTGCTCTATAAGTGGATACGAAATGGGCTGGAAACCCTTTTTCGGCCGCCCCCTCGAAATATTTCTCACGCGATCGATTCGAAAGCCTCCGGTGCGTCGCCTGGGGGGCGTCAATCGTAGAGAGAACGACATGAGAGGACGGAATAGCAGACAGCATTCCCGGCGCGTTCGATTTTCGTGAGACTCCTCCAGAAGAGACATCCAAAACTTTGAATCCGGGCTCTTCTCTACAACTACTATGTCTGACTCGTTGGGGAGTCCCCCTCAGACAGACGTGCTGGAAACTCCAGATCTTCCACCTCTGCCGCCGGTACCTCCGCCACCAATACCCCCGCCGCCGATCGGAGTCGACGAACCGACTCCAGAAACTCCCGCAGGTCCCGAGGATTGCGCGAACAGCAACAAACGCAAAGCCGATTTCAGCAGTGACGACGACTCAGAAGATTCTGTGGCTTCCGACGAGATCGATAAACTCTTAGATGAGAGCCTCAAGGAAGCAAGAAAAGCCGAAGATGTTATAATACGCAAGAAATTAATTTGTAAACGTGAGTATCGAATACAGAACCGGCGTTCGGATTTCAGTCCCTGCGGGCAGCTGATTCGGATTTCGGAGAATATCCGGGAATGCTGGACCAGAGAGCAGAACACAAGATGTACGGCGGTCAGCGCCAGCAAAGAATCAGCGCTCCTCTTATTTGAAATGGTTCATTTCGATCCTTCAGGATACACCAAAGACGTGTACGACATCCTTCCCGAGGACTGGGTGATGATAAATCACATTTGCGGTCTCCCTCTGTATCTGAACCGGAAAACCAGAGTATGCACTTGGAGTCGGCCTTATTTTCTGGGCCCAGGCTCGGCACGAAAACATGAAGTTCCTCAAAGCGCCATCCCTTGCCTCCATTATGAGCGTTCGAAGGTAAATCCCTCGGCTGCTCCCCGGTGCCGTTCGATCGTCTGCACGATAGTTCCCACCAGGGAGAGCTCTACGGATTCAGTTTTTTCTCGGTTTGTCCTCCGACTTCATTGACACACGGATATGCCTCCCAGAGTTCCTTGGAGCGGATCATCATCACCTCCTTTTCCTTCACAGAGAAAGGCACTCAGTAGAGAGGGTAATCAAGTCGAGCAATCACTGGCGGAGATGGCGAAGGCTCAAATGCCACCGATGACGACCGCAGGAATCGCTGAGAAATCTGTGATTGGGGAGGCGAGCGCAGAACCGATGCTAGTCGATGCCCCGAAAGATGAGGTCGGATCCGAACAACGGCCCACGGAGACCTCCGAGGAAAATGCGCCGAGCGAAGCACCGTCGACTACTGAGGCTGCGACCACCGGCGACCCCACCTCCTTGACACCTCAGCAGTTGCAAGTGATGAACAAAGTTGGCATTGAAACAGCTCAGGAATGTCAGGTGCACCTGAATGCGGAGCAGCTCAGAGATTATGCTAAAAGTCGCTTCGACATCGAAGAAGTCACCGTGCGACAGTTCAAGTAAGCTGCTTTGAGCTGATGAGGAGCTGATTCGTGATCGTCGAGCTCACTATTCCAGTCCTTACCTTCACAGTTTCGCTGAATTATCACAGATAATCTACATAAATTGAGTTCGTTCATCCTTCCTCAGGTCATGGGGAGCGCGTCGAGAATTCCAGCGTGAGAAGAAAGTCAAGAATCCGCCCACGCTGCCCTCGAGCACCCACCTGATAACTTGCGAGATTCCCAGTTCTGGAGTTCGGAACAAGCGGAAGGAATTCGTTCTCAACCCTTACGGCAAGGTAAGGAATATGAGCTCCATCGGATCACATATAGGATCGTTTTGGGTAGGGCGAACAATTTCCGTTCATTCTCTCCACAGGGGCCAGTTGGTATCCTGCACGAATTCGTTCAGCATTCCTTACGCGAGCAGCCTAAATACACGTTCAAGGAGTTGGCCAGCAGTGAAACTCCATACTGTGCAACGCTCCTGATCGGTGAGTTTTTCATCCTCCGGCTCCCATTTTATTGAGATGTAGATCCGTCAATTCGAGAGCCTAGTCTCTGGCAAACGAACGATTTTTTTTCTTCGTGCAGCGGAAGTAGAGTACGGAACCGGGTACGGTTCGAGCAAAAAGCAGGCGAAAACCGCAGCGGCTCAAGCAGCGCTCGATATCCTCTTGCCGTCATGGAGAGGGCTCCAAAAGTCTGACGAAAAAGATGAAAAAGATCCTGCACAGGCTTCGAAGCAGCATGAACTCGACTTTTTCGATGACATCGCAATCGAAGACCCTCGACTGGCCGGGCTGTGCACCACAACAGGTCAACAGTCACCATTCCATATTCTTGTCGAATGTCTGAGACGGAATTTCGGCCTGGTCAACGAGAGCGAAATCAAACATCAAGTTCTGAAGGAGAACGAGAAATCGCAACGGATCGTTTACCAAATGTCTGTCGGCAGCCACACAGTCAAGGTTCGGGCGAAGAACAAACGCGACGGTAAACAGCTCGCATCACAGCAGTTACTGGCGAAAATGCATCAGTACATTTCCACGTGGGGTGGTATCCTAAGACTGTACGGTCACAATTCCTACAAGACACCCAGGGACAAGCGTCAAGAGCAACAAGCCATAACAGATCTCCAGACAAAGTCAACGGCCACCGGGCCGAACCACTTCATCCTGAGTAAGCTACAGGAAGAAATGCTCAAACTCCCCGCGGAGCAACGAGAGGTAATTCGCGGGATAAATTATTTGTTTATATCACAAGGAAGCGGAGCTCCCGAGTGACTAGCTTCACACTCTCAGCATCGATTGAATATCCTCGGAAGTCTCTTCCGGAGACTCCTCGGCATTGCGATCCCTTAATTGACGGCTTTTTGCTTTCCAGGCTCAAGGTGCCGGCAGTAATAACATGAATATGGTGAAAATGTGACGCACAACACAGAGGAATCTGTCGCGCTGGCCTCGTATGGGGCTCGAGAACTCTCTGCATGTGAAGATCGGATCCATTTTTTCAGTGGGACCCATTCGGAGCCCGCCGATCTTGACTGTGGGGATGCTCATCTGACGATGTGCACAGTCTCCATCCGTACCGCCGATTGGCTACGCCTGGAATCAAGCGAAGAGAAGGGAGGAGTCGAACCCTTTTGTGTGATACAGCCCCCGCCCAGGCAGAGTTGATGAGATGTTATTTATTTCCCGTCGATCACGGGAAGAAGAAATTCGACATCCTATTCATTATTGATGTAATTGACGTGTTCCTTCTGCGTAGGAAAAAAAAGTTTATTTCATCCAGCGAATAAGTTACAGCAATCCCGATCGAGTGTGCTCTATGTACTAATTGGTGATAGATATCATCCCCTCCGAATCCTCCCCGAATCAGCCTAATGACTTAGATGATCTCGTCAATCGAACCCACTGGGAACGCCTACCACGCATCCGGGAAGACCGGCCTGAACGAGGCGGTTTTCGAAAAATTCTCTGATGGCGGAATTACGCTCTTGGTTTCCCCGCCCCCCCCTGGCTGGTGGGATATCGCAGCCTTCGCTCGCGGGCTGATATTCGAGAATTCGCTCCCGATCTCGTCTCCGTATAAATTATGCGTGCCGTTGACGCGACTCATAAGCATCCCAGGATCTCCTAGAGAAACGGACGCCGCGACCTGGGCATCCGGACCCTGCTACACGTAAAGCCCCGCTCTCATTAAATCATGCTTCCCGTCGGCCGCAAGAGCAGCCGTCTCGTCTCGCCTTCTTGAAGCTGTTTCCGCATGTTTTCTGTAGAGGAAAAAACTGCTCCCCTATTCGCTATTGTGCGCCAGCCGTCATTGTTGAAACCCGGACGCGCGATGCGAACCCTCGGGATGTTCGGCATCTTCTGAATTCCTCTCTGAACGCAGGTAGGGTTGACGAGCGACAAGCACGTCTCATTGATGAAATCTTTAGCTTCGGTCACGATTCCGTTTCCGCAGTTTTCGCGATCCGCCGCGATTTCCTCGCCTTTTTCTCAAAGTGCTCGATCGCCTCTTCGAGCAGCATCATCAAATCAATCAGGAGGTCCCGTTGCTCTGCCCGGCCGTCGAGCGACCTTTTCTTACGACCTTGAAAAACTGCGCCTTGGGCTCCTGCGTAGTACAGTGAGTTCGACATCAACGTCGCCGTGACCGGCATGAGAAACGATGAGACGGCGAGCGGCGCCAAGATCAGCAGAAGCAACGGCAGGATGTAATCGTAATCCTTCTTGTGGTGTTTATCATGGTGGTATTTCTCGTAGTGGTAGTCGTCCCAATCGTCCCAGTGGTCGTCCCTGCGGTCTGACCGATGGTCCAATTCCCGAGAATCATAGTCGAAATCGTAGCGTCTGTTCTTCTCCGAGAACAATCCGGACCCCCGCTGGTCGTACTTGTCGTTCTTCTTTATGTTGGGTGCCGGCTCGTAGTAGAAAGTGTTCTTGGAATTCGACTCCTGCGCGAAGAGCTTCTCGTGCTCCTGGAGTCCTCTGCGAGGGTTGCGATAGGGGTCGTTGTGCATCACGATGTCCAGGATTCGGGGACCGTTTGCCGCTGCGGCTGTCGACATCGGATGAACCACCCGCTGAGCGAAATACTTGGCGTAGTCCTTCGAACGAGAATTCTCGAAGTTTGCGATGTCACTGAGCGTCGACGTCAGGTCGTGGTAGTAGTCGGTGTTATCCGGGGCGGCCTGAGCTGTGTACTTCAGAACGTGCGCTTCGGGGCTGGACTTCTTTTCGAAGTGGTTCGCCGAATCCTGTCGCGAAGGTTTCTTCGGAGCGTCGGCACTGATCACGCGAACGCTCGTCGAATCCGTAGCCAGGGCGGGAAAATTCCATGAAGTCTTCCCGGAACTCCGCGTCGTCCAGACGGCCTTCTTGAACTTTTGGGACGGGTCATCGTCGCTCCTCGAGGACGCGTGGCTGGTCACGTTTTCCTCGGAGCGCACGAGAACGAATGAACAACATACGGTCAGGAGGGGTAGGTACGTCCCGAGCATGTTTCCTCCCGCGAGAACACACTCCCACCTAACTCGGAACAGTCCACAAATCGAATGTAGGCTAACGTCGAGTTCTTTGAGCAACTACTGCTAGAAACGATCTGAAGAGCCGCAAGGGGAGCGGCTCGGTTTTGTCGTCGGGGTGTGGATCTGCAAGGGCGGAATCTGAACATCGCTCGAGCACGACGGAATCCCTCACGAAAATCGCATCCGAGGGGATCTGGATCGGCTTCCAGAACGTGTTCGCATCTTGTTCATCGCAAGGGACAGAACAAACGTAACGAATAAGTTTCCTACGCCCTTGTTCTGAATTGGCTCGCTAACTCGACGAGACTTCCAATTTTTTTCCATCTGGGCACCGCTCGTTGTCGTCATCAAGTGCGTCCCGGAACTCTTACGAAAGAGGAAGCAGGACTGTCGCAAATTGGAGAAGAAGTTTATCTAACGACTGTTCGGCTCATCCTCGGAGAAATTACTTCGAGCCGCTCGCTGCGACGCCGACGTCACGCGCTTTTGAATTAAGGAACTCGTCCTAGACATCGGGTCTGAACTTTGAAATATGATTCAATTCATTCTGTTTCCTAGGAGACTTCCGCCGGAGGACTTCACCGAGAATACATCATCGTCCCTTGATCCTTCCGTGATCATACCCGGAACCCCTTCTAATAATTAGGTACACTTCAGCCAACCTTTCTGATGGAGCTCGGTCTGAGTGAGCTGAAGTAAGATCGAATTAGCGAGGGGGGAAGGGCGGCGGTAGGGGTATGCGTAGGGCAATGGGAAAATGCTTTGTCGGATCATAGATGGTCCAACTACCAACCACTACATATTATACGAGCCAGTAAGCTCTTGTGATTTTGGGGCTCTCAGTGCGATTTCCGGGTTAGCGGGCACGGGGAGCCATGATCCGCTCGGGTTCCAGTCAGGATTCATGCCGATTGTCAAAAACGTCGCTCGCTGTCCACGAGGAGTCCACGTTTCGTTGGCAGTTGAAATTATAGACTCCTCAGTTACTGACATCGAATCGTTTGGCGGGCACCTGTCACTCTTCCGAAAGATCGATGAATCCTATGCTTCCCCGGTGCTCCATTACCAAGATACATCGGCTCCGACTGATTTTTCGCACTTCGACCCAGTCTCCGTATCGGTTCCGAATGGCCGAATGGAGAGTTCGAGGGAAGAAAGTTGGGCTACAACGTCCGACCGCCCAAAGAAGATTCATTCGAGCTCGAGAGCTAACTTTGACGATATTCGATCGCAGTCCTGATGGCGTCGAGCCTTTTCCCGCGCTGCTCGGTGCATCCAGCAGAGCAGCTCATCCGGGGGTCGAGAGTTTGTTTCGAAGACGTTCCGGACGGATGTAGGGGGACCCTGTAATCCGGGAAGCTGGAAGTTTCGCAGTATATGACTCAAAATTATGGGTATCAAGCTTTTCTCGAGATTGAATTCTATGGAGATGGAAATATGTGAATGGCAAGCCTGAAAAGGAAACTTGAATCAGTGTGGAAGGTCCCGCGGAGCCAAAGAGCTACGCCCCTGCTTCCGGACGACGACGCGGTCGATGATGGGATGAGTCTTTTCATCGTAATGTCTCTAGTTTGTCAAAAAGATTTGAGTCAACCGTTCTCTGAATGAGACTTCTTCTGCCACGCCCTGCCGGAGGCAATTCTGCAGTAAACTGAATCCCGCAGGCCGCCGAAGGCGGAAACATCGGGGAAAGCTTTAACGTTTCAGATTATAACCCATTCACTCAGTTCTTCAGCCAGAGTCAGCCAGCGAGAAAGTCGGCTGAATGAGAGAATGAGCACCAGATGAGTACCATGATCACCTAACACCATTACTCCAGCGGACAAGAGCTCCTTCTATCGAGGCGGTTTTCGCCGGAGCGGACGGAATCGATTCGTGATTCGTTAATCGTCTTTTCGCGGGACCAATATGAATGAAGGGAATCTTCGACCATCGGTTGCGGTCCGACTGGAGCTCCGAGTAGAGCTCCGAGCCGATCCGCCAATGACGACTCTTGAATCCGTGCGTTGCGGGATCGTCATTAGCCCAGGGCGGATTTCGAGGACTGTTCGCTCAGTGGAACCGACTCTTGCACAGCATACACGGAATTTCTGTCCCAGTTCCGAGATGAGCTCTGAGCGCTGACCCGGATAATTGTGGACAAGCGGTGGAACCTCCCGGGTCGCTATAGCAACGATGTCATGTTCTCGAGATAAATAAACTCCACCGACCACGGACACCGACCGCTTTCCTCAGCAGAGTGGGGGAATCTTAGTGGCGCGTAGAGCGTGGAATGGAACGTCTACGACGTGCCATTGAGTCCGAGGTCGGTCGTGAAATCGAGCGTCTCATCGAGCGTCGCTCTTCGGCGAGCACTGCCGACGAGCTTCTGGAGCGAATCGCACCATCGGAGACATGGCGGAGATTTCGAAGGAAGTATATCCTGTCCACGGTCGCGAACGGGAACGAGGCGATCTACGAGAGGTTGCCGCGGAAGTTTTCCATGGACGCGGTGGTCGGCGGCGGCGGCGACGACCACCACAGCCTCACATCAATCGGCTCGATATCGAGCGTGTCCACAACAGACACGGTCTTGGTGTTCAGCGATGCTGAGTTCGTTCAAGTTTGTGAGCTCCTCGCCAGCGACGACAATTTCGACAAACTGCAAGGACTCGATATGTTGGCTCGAGCGTCGAGCGTCGAGAATTTCGTGCGCACCGAGGAGTGGGGAGTGTTGGAGAAATTGTTACGGATTTGCTTGTTCGACGAAAACTCTTTGATCCGCTCGGAGGTCTCGAGCGTCTATCGGATGATGATTTGCTCCACGGACGACAGGACCAGCCTCACAGCATACAGCAGCATGCTCAAAGCGGTTTGTAGTTTTCTAGGGCGAGGAAAACCCTCTCAGCCTAGGAGACTGCGTCAGGCCGTATACCTCCTCGATTGTCTCAACGACTACCACAAGGAATGCGTCGCGCATCGCTGGTTGAGGACCCCCACGCACATCATAACTGCATTCATACAGAGCACGTTGGATTGTCTCGCGGATCGTCGGGTCTGGACTTTTCTCGCCGGAATCGACCCCACCGCGTCATGGATTCAGGGCTGGCTCGCTGCCGCCCCGATCCGGGGCATTGTGATCAATGAAATCAGGAGCAGAACGCTGTTCGTCCAGATCGCGGTTTCGCGATTAGCGGACGATGAGTGCCACAAGACTGTTCTCCTGTATTCGTGTTGCGTGTTGTTGCATTTTCTGCGATACGAACAGGGGCGTCAACTCATCGATCTGTCGGTGGCCGTCGCTCAAGAAAATTCCTGGTTCACTATCCTCATCAATTGCATAAAAACCATCTTCCAGTTCCAACCGGACCCGAGTCTCAAAGACTTGTGTCTGCAAACGGTCAATGCCGTCAGTACCTCGCTGTCTGTCGACCATCAGCAGGAGCTACTGCATCTGAGTCTGAGCTTGTTCCCGAAAAAAATCTCATCCGACACCCATCTCGAGCAGTTCGATTGGGCGAGTAGTTTTCTACTGACCCTCGTCAGGACTCCCATCAATCGACACGTCATCGTGCATTCGGTCATCAAGGATCCTCTGACATCAGAGACCCTGCTCCAGATATTCAGTTCGATCTTCAGCATGAAACACGTGTCGGTCCCCTTGAAAAATCCAGTATTCTACCTCGGAATGCGGAAAATCCTTCAGTCGTGTACTCAGATCCTCTCACATCCCATGTTCCTTCTTCAGTTCCCTTTGACTCGGATTTCTGCCCTCGCACTCGACGCTCTCTCCCTTGACACTGTCTTACCTCGGACTTTAGTGGTGAGGATGAGCATGACCAGCCTCGGGAGCGCTCTCTGGAAGAGGGGAGCGCTGAACGACAGCGCTCCCAGGATCATATCCGACCTGTGCAAGTTCGAGGGACGCGTATCCGAAACTCTACTTGTCACGAATTTTCTTCAATTCGTTCCCCCGAACCAGATCCAGGGCATACTGGAGAAGTTCGGTATGCACGTCTGGAAGAGACATGCGAGCGACGACGCGAGACTCGAGGCGCTCTTAATTCTTCATTCCTCGGTCACCAACGTGAAACTCATACTGAAGAGCATCGGATTCTCATCGATCATCGACAGAGACCTCTACAGAGACGTTCTGCTTTTGCCAACGAGTAAACGACTCAGCGACGACCAGGTCATAATGTCTCTGACAGTTCTATCGGTGATGTGTTCCTCGTTGCCGACGTACATATTTCTCCAGGAAAGATACCGTCTGACCGAGATCCTCCGGAACGAACTTCTGAAACACGTGGGTGACCAAGACCAGTACGTCGTGGACGAGATTTCGAATCAGATCGACTCTCTGATCTCCCGAATCACTCTTGTCGGGGGGCCGTCGGAGAGGAAGATCCTCGGCTTCAATTCTTCTACGCAACTTAAGCCGGTCAAGAAAGCCACTTCGGTCAGCCGCTCCTGCAGAATGAACCGTGACCTGTCCATCGACCGACGATATTTCGACGAGTTTCTCCAGGACCAACGAGGTCTGAGCAGGTTCCAGTTCGACGAGGTTTTCAGTTTGGTGCCAGCGAATGATCTCGACGAACTGGAAGTCGAATTGAACGATATCGACGCCCTCGGACTGCAACTGATTCTGGCTTATAACCGACAAGCTCAGATCATCGAATATCCGGACACGGTCATCTCTAAATCGTGGTACCGATTGCAGGCAAATGTCGCTCCCAGCTTCAGATCCACGAATCTCCAAACAATCGACTTCACCTTGGCTAGCCTCTTCCTTCTGTGCAGAGGTGATCCCGGCAGGGCATTGACGCTGCACGGCATGCTTGTCGACAGAGGTTGCAATTTCATCTATTTCCCGGATATTTTCGAAGTGGGCGACACTCTGGTGACTGCCTCGGTCACCCACACTCTGGAACTGATGGTGTTCAATGAACTTCCCAAAGTTCATTTCGCGTTGAGGCGTGCCAATTTCCTCCTCAGGAACCTAGCGTCGTTCTGGGTTGGTCAGAACCTGTGGAACGTGATCGATCTTGACGAGATCGCGACGATACTTGCCGTGTGTCTCGTACACGGCAGCGACTATTTAGTTTACTATTGTGTTGCGATTTTGCGACATATCGAGCCGGAGGTTATCCGACTGAGTCTCGAGGGGAACTTGGCATTGAACGTGCGACTTGAACCGGTGCTGGACTTCAAAGCGAGCGAGAGTCTGGAGTTCTGCCATCAACTCCGGAAAGTCTACAGAGCAGGCATGACGGACGCGATTGAGAACTGCAAACCGTAGAGCCGCTCGACGATCCGGTCACGGAACCCATTGCTGCGTCGATCCTTTCACATTGTATATCAGCAGTGTTGAGACTGCGTGTTTGAATAAACAGCTCCTCTGTGATCAGAGGGACTTGTGCATAGGGAGAGGGGGAAATGGTCTATCCAATCGGACAATATTCTCAATAAAAGCTCGTGGATATAAAAAAGCGTGGAAAGCGCCTATTTCGCCAAAAGGGGCTTCTGGTAGGCATTCCTCGGCTTTTTATCCGAGCGAGTCGTAACTCGCTCCAGGAGATAAGTGAAAAATTCCAAATCCATCCGTAAAGACGACGAGAGGACAAGGGATCGAGCGATCGCGGGACGATCCCCATCTCCTTGCATGTCCGCCGGTGGCCGCCGCCGCACTGCCACCGCCCTGTGTTTTGATTTCCTCTGCGTGATGCATCCATCCAACGAAAACATTTCCGGAACAGACTACGTGGAGAAATCTGACGTGGTGGGTCGAAAGGAGTTTGTGGATGTGTATTGCAGGCGCACGATTAGGAATAGTGCCGGTACGGTTCTGAGCGTTCTTTCCGCATCGGTTCAGTCGGTGCTCTCGAGAACCTCACGCACAAGCTACCCTAAGCCGTCATTATGGAAGACCCGTGCTACACTCTGACGGCTCCGCTCGAGGACAATGACGTCCAAGAGATGGGCATCCGAAATGACTTTGAAAAAGGCGATCCTAAAAAGCAAGCAAAAGCTTTGGAGCACCTGATCAATAAAATGATGCACGGTGAGTTCTAAGATGGAGTTTCGGGAGTCCGCGGGATAGTGCTCGCTCGAGGATGACTTATCGGTAGTCGAAGGGTTCCGTCAGGTTGCAGCAGAAACACCGGTTCTCTAACAGCTGTCATTTACTGTGATCGCTCATTCCGGGATCGGTTCCCGCATTTCCGTACGGGGAACGCACTGAACGCTGTCGTGGCCAGCGTCTCTAGCTACCCGCAGGTTTCCTAAAATTGGGAAGTCTCGATTTCGAAAAAACCTCATCTGGGCGGCCGCTGTCGCTGCTGACACGTTCCGGACCCACCGTTGAGGATGCCGGGGAATCTCGAATCGAATCCATGAACAATGGCATAGTTTCGTGGAGACTCGTCCCGATGAGAAATCTCGTTTATCGTAACGCGAAAAATTCACTGAAAGGCCTCTGTTTTCCAGGTGAGCGCTTTTCACCTTCGATGTTGATGACTGTCATCCGGTTTCTGCTTCCTTCAAATGACCACACAATCAAGAAGCTCCTCCTCATATTCTGGGAAATCGTTCCTAAACGGGACCAGAACAAGAAACTCCTGCAGGAAATGATTCTCGTGTGTGATGCGTACCGGAAAGACCTCCAGCATCCGAACGAATTCATCCGAGGATCGACCCTCCGCTTCTTGTGCAAGCTCAAGGAGCCTGAACTCCTCGAGCCGCTGGTGCCGGCCATCACAGCCTGTCTGCAGCATCGGCACAGCTATGTTCGCAAGAACGCCGTACTGGCCATTCTGGAAATCTATAAAAACTTCAATCAGCTCATTCCGGACGGGCCGGAGCTCATCGCGGACTCCTTGGATATCGAGCACGACCAGTCCTGCCGGCGGAACGCTTTCCTCGCGCTGATGACGCTTGACAGAGAGCGCGCATTGAATTATCTGGCAGACATCGCCGAACAAGTCGACAGGTTGAGCGAGCCCCTCCAACTCATAATCATAAAGTTCATCTACGAAATCTGTCACGACAATCCCAGCGAAAGGTCGAAGTTCATCAAAATGGTTTACCTTTTGCTGAACGCCAGCTCCCCATCAGTGAAGTTCGAAGCTGCCGGTGTCCTCGTCACGCTGAGCCAAGCGCCGGCAGCGATCAAGGCGGCCGCCGGCGCCTACATCGATCTCGTCGTCAAGAGCGATAACAACGTGAAGCTCATCGTCCTCGACAATCTCATCAGTCTCAAAGAGGAACACAGCAAACTACTTCAGGACATCGTGATGGACCTCTTCCGTGTTCTTGGCGCTTCCGACCTCGAGGTTCGACGCAAAGCGCTCAAACTCGCCCTCGACCTCATAAGCGCCAAGTACGTGCCGGAAATGGTTGGCGCGATCAGCAAAGAGATCGCCAAGACCGAGGCGGCCACGGCCGACAATACAGACGAACACTACCGAGAGCTCCTCGTGAAGACACTCCATCGCCTCGCTATCAAGTACCCCGACTCGATGCAGGAAGTCGTTCCAGTGGTGAGTACCGAGCCTTTGAGAGAGTACCTGTTGGTACCGTTCGGCGCTTGATTTTTTTTTTGCACCGTCGCTAAAATTGATTTCTTTTAAATTAATTTTAACTCGGAATAATTTCAAAATAATTTCTCCTTTCCCTTGAAATAATTCCCGCCTCTCCCTCAGGTCCTGGATCTTCTCTCGGACCAGAACGCCTGCGTAGCCGAAGCGGTGTTGTCCTTCATCCGCGAGATTCTCCACAAATACGAACACGCTCGACGGTTTATCGTCACGAAGCTCACCGAAGTCTTCCCGCAGATCTGCGGTTCCTCGACGCACCGGAGCGCCCTGTGGCTCCTCGGAGAGTATTGTGCGAGCCCGGACCAGATAGTCGCCTTCATGAAATGTGTCCGGAACTCGCTGGGAGAACTGCCGATCGTCGAGAGCGAAACCGCTGAGCTCAACAAAGACGCGGAGGACGCTGCCAATGACGACGAGAACCGCGTGAACGGTAGCACCGAAGCGGTGGTCACGACCCGGGTGACGGCCGACGGGACGTACGCCACGCAAACAGCGATGACCTCCGAGAAGAAGGTCGACAGCAACGAAAAGAAACGACCGCCGCTCCGACAGTATCTCTACGAAGGCGACTTCTTCATCGGGGCGGCTCTCGCGTCGGATTTGGTAAAAGTCACCCTCCGCTACGTGAAGCTCGTCAACGACCCTCATCTGCAGCACGGTTTCATCGCCGGAGTGATGTTGGTCCTGACAACAATTTTGAACTACGGACAATCGGACTTGCCGGAAAAGCAAATCAGCGAGGACGATTCTAAGAAAATCTCCATGTGTCTCAAGCTCTTGTTGGAAAATGTCCACGACGACCAGTTAGATCTTGCCGCACAGACGAGAGGAGCGCTGGACCACATGCTCGCGATCAAAAGCGAACAGGAGAACACGCTAGAGAAGAAAAGTGCCGAAGTCAAGCTGCCAGCGAAAGATTCTCAAGTCGACGACTGCATTTCATTTTCGTTGCTCACTCCGAAAGGCGCCGGTCACGAGGCAACGGAGAACATTTTCGAGATTTCCTTGGCTCGAGCTGTTCAGGGTAATCGCGATCTCCATGCCGGGGATTTGTTGAAGAACTCCAAGTTGTCCAAAGTGACGCAGCTCACGGGTCTCTACGATCCGGTTTACGCCGAAGCGTACGTACAGGCCACGGAATTCGACATTTGCCTGGACGTTCTAATTGTCAACCAGACGTCGGACACCTTACAACATTGCATTCTGGAGTTGGCGACGCTAGGCGACGATTTGAAACTTCTTCAGAAACCGAGCTCGGTCACTCTGGCTCCATTCGACTTCTGTAATATGAAAGCTACCATCAAAGTGGGCGCTGCCGATAACGGAACGATATTCGGTAACATCGTCTACGACGTGAAGGGGGGAACGAATGTTGTCGTTCTCAACGATATCAAGATCGATATCATCGACTATATTATGCCCTCGGTCTGTTCGGATGCCGACTTCCGCAAGATGTGGGCTGCGTTCGAATGGGAGAACAAGGTGAGATCATCGGACGGGTCTATATCCATTATGATGGGCCATAGAGAATTCTTTTGCCTCGCGGAGTGGGTTCAGAGCCGACACTCGATACTGAAGCCTCGCTGTTCCTTCCAGGTTTCCGTCAACACTCCACTGCGCGACCTCAACGATTACCTTCAGACCTTGATAGAAGCCACCAACATGAATTGTCTCACTCCGGAGCAGGCTCTCAAAGGCGACTGCGGCTTCCTGGCGGCGAATCTCTACGCGAAGAGCATCTTCGGCGAGCACGCCGTCGCCAACGTCTCGATTGAGAAGCGTTCCAAAGATCTTCATCCTCACAGTATCATCTCAGGCCATATCAGGATCCGAGCAAAGAGTCAGGGAATGGCTATCTGCATAGGCGAGAAGATGAGGGACATACAGAGATCCACAGTTCCTGATCGTTCTGCTCCCGCTACTGTTCCGACTGAGGCCTGAACAGAGGAGAAGGTCGACGAACCAAGTCGATCCCACAGTTTTTACAAAGATGGCTTGAAAGCGTCGCGAGCCTGCATTCATGGTGAGAGCTGAGAACCCGAGTGGGTCTGAATATGTGTAGTCGCTTGACATTGTCAGAACAGTGGATTGTATTCACGTTATTCCTATCCGAATAAAGCTAGTTTTATGACTGATTTATTCATGCGAAAAGGTCCTTCTCGTTTGAATGTCTCGACTCAAACTCATCCGCAGCTTCCGTTCGGGAGGATCGGTCCTCTTCCGGGAACAATTGCGACAAGTTAAGAGGGAGAGCCTCGATAGATCCGCTTCGTTGCGTCGCCTCGACACTGTGTGGACCGTCCGCATCAGAGCTGTCTACTCGAAAAAGGACTCGGAGTCGGCTGAGTGAGGTTTCTCAGAATCAGGACGCCGCAAGCTGGGGAGAATATTCGAGCTCATGGCTAAACTTCGTAGGGCCGGAGTCGACCGCGAATCCGATCGGGAACGACTCGGGTTCAGGGACACAAAGTCGCTCAAACTTGTTTCACGATGATGAGGGCGAGTCCGTGCTCGAGTGATGTTGCCCCCAAAAAGCACGCTCGCAGGGCTATATGTATCAGCTCGACTTGCCCACGGCGAAGAACGACTGCAAGTCACTCACGTTCGGAGATTTTATTCATGTCAGAATTGGTCGCATACGTTATGGTCTAGTGATAGTTGCCGCAGCATTGTAATCTATAAGGGCACTCGTGCTCGATGTCGGAAGGCGGATTTCTTCCTAAGGACGGGGAAGCGAACTCGCTCGGTGGTAGGACCCGCATTCAGTGATCAAGTGACCGAATCGGCTCAGTCAAGGACGAATCAGCGGTCCGTGATGTCTATCATCGAGTTCTGTACCTATGTAGATACACCAAGCAATGCCTGGATTAGAGTCGAGCAGAATATTTCAGGTCAGCAGATAAGAAGCTATCATTCAAGAAGGAATACCTTTCCGAACATGTTCGATCGAATTCCGTCGAAGCGCTCGGAATTCATGAGAAAAGGAAGGAGGCGCGCGCATCTTCCTTCGACCTAGTGTGTTCCAGAGCTTCGACTGGAATCTTATTCATTCAGTACCGGACTCCGTTCCCCAGAGAACCTTTTCAGCTTGGTTATAATCTTCTGTTCCTCATCAACCACTGCATCGGGAACTAGGTGGAGGAATCGTGCGTGATGGAGTTGCCAACAAGAACCGCCCGCAGCCTCGACAGATTCTATCATGGCCATCATCAGTCGGCGGAGAATCTTGAAGAATGCTCATGGATGCTGATTCGAGCATAAATATAAGGGTAGGCAAGCTGCTCGAGGAAGCTCGCAGCACGGGAGTTCTTGGGGAGCGTGGGAGGCGCATGCAGGGCCCGATCGGATCGAGGATGGGCGAGTTCATGGTCGATATTCCCTCACGATCATGAGAAAAGGTAAGAGATGCTCTGGAACATTTGGTATTTTCTAGGCAGGTGAGAATTTATTGTCGGAAAACCTCTTCATTTATCAAAATCCGATGAATATGATTTTTGATAAACACGTTATCCGTTCCACAATGAAGGATGAGTGAATATTGGATAAGATGTGATGCATATGTATACATATATCCGGGCATTGTTGAATTAGCCGTCGAATCGAGATGAGTGCTGACTGACAGAATTTTATTTTTGCACGAAAGTGGATGACTCACGAGGTCTTTAGATCGAATATAAACGTAGGCAGCAGTTCAAGTATCGAGCGCTACATCGATTCTCGAAATTTGGTAAAACACGATTCCTTAAATGGGTTTCGACAGTATTAGTGATTGAAAAGTGATATTTCGTAATCATTCGTCAATCATTTGGTAAATAAGATTATTCTTCGATAATGTAGGAAAAATAAATAAAAATAATGATAGATATTAACTATTTTGGAATACGATTTTCGCATGACTCGATTCTGTGCACGTATCTGGCAGCATGGGAAGCTGTGACAGAAGCAGCAATGGTGAGGCTTTTGAATTTATCGTCTCGATGTACCTTGGGGAGTTTGCGCCCTCACGCGCATCATGTACCGATTTCTTTGTGTAAACAGACACAAGGAGATAATGATAGAGATGGATTTCCACGTATAACAGCCAATAAATCAATCAAGCATACCGCGTGATAGTGGTGAGGAAGACCACGACATGATCGAACGTTCCGGTCGCGC